CTATCCTCACCTTCAACCTGCTGTACCCCAGTGGTCACGGCTTCCCACTAGAACCCCAGGTCACTGCCTGAGTAGGGCCAGTCGCTAGTAAGTATCAGGTTAGAATTCATGGGCCACTGGATTGGGTCCCAGTGGCTTAATGATCTGCGAGCTCTCTGGCCTTGTAACCAGAAGGTCCTGGGTTCAAATCCCATTGGTGGGTGAGTACTGCTGAATAGTGTCAAACTAGGCTGACGAAACAGCTGTCTGTCCAGTACTCCCTGGTGGCTTCCCGATGGTTCTCTAACCGATGTCACCTCATGATGTAATCCTCCAAACAATTAAAGTTTTTTTTCTTTTTAAGTTTTGAGTATACCTGATTATTTTTGACTACATCACTAAAAACATACTTTTAGTATAATCCCGTCTCCCTCTGAGATTGAATACCTTATCCCTAAATCACTAACTGTAATAAAGAATGAATTGAAAGCCTTCACTATAGTCATAAAACACACTTATCACTGCCACAATATTATCCCTGTAGTAAATTAACTATGACTGATACCAAAATCATCTGGCTTTCCAATAATTGATATAGTGGAATAAACCAACCATTTTCCTAACTGTAATTGTCACTGGGACTGAGATATGTCAAAGATGTAACTTACTATAGACTAATATATCTTGTGGTAGAGATAGATTAGAAAGAAGTTTCATTATTCATTTTCCCTTTATAAAGGCTACTGTAATGTTTATTTATACTAACGAGTGACAGCTGCAGTGTAAACAAAATAAACTCATACATGCATTTATAAGCTATAGATTCTTGTCAGAAGAAGTAGGTTGAAGTGGATATAAATCATTGATGGGTAAGCATAGCAGACAAGAGACTTCGTAATAAATTGCTGATTTACAACTTGATATCTCTGTATAGCCAAATTATGTACACCTTATCTCCAAATCGTTATTTGCTCAGATATCCCGTGTTGTTCTACATCTGCCCTTCCCATTGTGTTTCTTTGTCTTCTTCTCGTGTCTCCCATGCTTCTCCGCTACACTGGTTCATTTGCTGTCTTTAACGTCTAATCTATCTCCCCGTTATGTGATATTTTTCTGCTGATGAAGGTCTGTTTATATACTACTGATAAATCATCTCAGTAGCACGCGCAACGGAGGTACTTCTAATTCACTATGCTAAAATATTCACTATCTCCAGCTAACATACTTGGATAGTCTTAGGTCTACATAATAATAGCACGCATTTCACTGTTAGTTATATGGCTTTTATCAATGCATTCTGTGCATTAGGTTCATAGGTAAAACTCTCACGGGTAGGGATAAATTCAATTTCCAAGTATTGGTTTTGTAGATATTTGGATGGTTGGTTACAGGATTTCATCATGAGCTGACATCGGCTAGAGAACCATTGGAAAACCTGAAGGGAGTATTGGACAGCTGTTTCTGTAGTCCTAGTTTGGGACTCTTCAGAATTACGCACCCACCAACGGGGTTCGAACCCATGTTCTCCAATGGTTCTCTTACCGATGTCAGCTCATGATGAAATCCTCCATGCAATCAAACAAAATGCCTACAAACCAATACTTGAAAATTGATCTGATGCTCATTAGGGACTGGTCCCATTCAGGTAGGTAGTGGTTACCTGGGGTTCTAGTGGGAAGCTGTGACTAGTAGGGTATAGCAGGTCGAAGGTGAGGCAGTAACTCATCGAAGATGACACTGTTAGGTGGTGGTGCTATTTCGGAATTGGCAGAAGTTAGAATTCATGGGCTGGGTCTCGGTGTCTTAGTGGTCTATGAGCTCCCTAGCCTTCAAAGCAGAAGTTCCTAGTTTCGAACCCCCTTACTGAGTGGGTAGTTCTGAAGGGTCCAGAACTAGGATGACGAAGCAGCTGTCTGTCCAGTACTTTCTTCAGGTTTTCCACTGTTTCTCTAACTGATGTCATTCATGATGTAATCCTCCAACCAATCAAATAAATTCAATTCTCACAGCAATTATTCAACATTTATCTCTGGTGTAGGTAATAACCATTTTATTTCACAGGCGTTAAATGCCTAAATTACCTTCAAAAGTTTGACATGTAATGTAAAGTTAGCACTGAAGAGAAATTAATACTGAAATATAATCATCTACTGCATTTACCAAACTTATAGGCAAAAACTACAGTATCACTTTGCATTTCATTCTACGATTAATCTCCAATGTGTACAGTTATATTCTTGTAGTGCAACAGTGTAAACACACTAGCCCTATGGAAAATATTCAATACACGAGGTTGTTAATATCGATTGATGTGTTGATGATTTAGCAAACGCTTCTCAAAATCACTGAATATTCACCGAATTGACACAGAATAGTAATCGTTCCTGTTCATCAGTTCCTAGTAGTCATTGGGATGAGTTTATTAATTAATTTAGGCAACGTTGTCAATGAATAAACAAGCATGGAAATTTAATATTAAACTTTGGGCGGGGTATATTCATTAGGTAAAATTAAACGAGTGAAATTTACGCTATTTAAAAGTAATAACTTGTCGCGAATTCACAAAGTAATATTACTTAAATACAAATGTTACAAAAAGAGCTGACGAGTGCCAAATAGGACGAAGTGTGCATCCCTAATTCCACTGCTAGTCAACATTAAACAGATAAAAAGACCTATAGATTGAATAAATCAATGTAGTTTAATATCCACCGATGACCTGGTGGCCTGCTTAAGCTACTCGGCTACCCTACCTAATTTTCTATCCATCGAAAATGTATCTTATTCACTCGTGGTCATATTGTTTTAATTGACCAATTACATCATTAAATCACAGATTGTACTCACGCCTATTTTCAAATAGGAGTTAACCTACAGCTGTGGATTTTTTGAAGAAAACGGAGAAAAAGTATAGCGTACTTTAGATAGAATAATATTGCTTCAGATGATGTATTACCAATTATTAAACTATCTGAAGATCTTATTCCCGTAGTAAATACTTTGCAATAGAACATACTGAGAATTCTACAATAGGTATGAAAGCATTTTCACGACTACATTTATGATTATCAATAACAATGATAACAGTAAGGAATGGACACCACGGTCAAATGACCTTAAACCAACCAATCAGATCGCTCTACATTGGAAGTGGATGCTTTTAGGGTTAAGGTTAGGGTAGGATTAAGGTACGGTTAACGTCTGTGGTTCAGCGGTAGAAAGCTCGCCAAACACTCATTTGTTCCACTGTTCAACTCCCGGCTGACACACTCATAAAACTCGCTGAACTGGTGGTGTGGCTAGAAGAGAGAGAAGGTTGGGCGTGGGACTAGCAACTACTCCCCGTAAAAAGAGAACCACTGCTACCGAAACTTAGGAAACTCTAGCCTGAAGCCCTATTTTCCACTGGGAACACAAGGGAATAGAAAAATAAGGTAAGGCTATGATTAAGGTACGGATGAAACTTGTAACGAAGATTGCCAAAATCATCCATTTGTAGCGTTGAACTATCTGATTGATCGGTTCAAAGTCATTTGACCGTGGTGTCTATTCTATACTGTTACCTTAATATAACAGAATTCATAGAATACGATTCCATCATTGGACCAGAATTATGTAGTCGTTAACACTTTCTTACTGAAATAATAATCGGATAGCGCATATAGACAGTAGTTTGTAACAAAATACTGAATAATCTGAAGCAGCGCACATTAAAAGGGCAACAAGTGATAAAAACCCTCCAAGTCTACAGGAAAAGACCACCTACTTTCTTAAAAAGTTGAAAAATATTGTGGTAATTATACATAAAACTGAAAATCACACTCACAAATATTCACTCACCTCATCGACTTATTCTCTGTCTGTCATCTAAACGCTCACGTGACATAAATCTCATTATATTCTTCATGAATTATTGAGTAAAATGTGAAAAGTGGTCAAAATATACCTTGTTTATGTATATGTAAATGTGCTTGTTGATGACAGAAATTGTTGTTGAGAAATTTAAAGCTTAAGGTGAATATAATTCGACCTGAAGGATTTTTGTGAATGGTGTTCATTACTGATAAAACCACAGCTGAAGACTACTGACAAGATTTACCAGTAGTATTAGATGGTTGGAAGCAATCCGGAGGAAGCCCAGCCTTGGAACTAGTTTTCATGCATGTTGGCACTTGTCAGCAAGGCGCATCTGTAACCTTGAAGGAATTCATGTCCCTTCTGAGATTCGGACCAGCGTCACTCAGTGCGGCCTTCAGTCAGAGACGTTACCACTGAGCTATTCGGGCTCGCGATTGACCTCCTCTAAGAATGTATTGGATACTTTAATTGGACACCAGTAACTAGTGTGATATGTCCGGTCGTTTTTTGGTGCAGAGCGAATTCTATCAGTCTGCCGATTGCACGCGACCATCTAATATATCATTAAATCAATGTGCACCGTGATGGCGAGCCACCTAGCATAGCGGCCACATTGCAAACTTGACTGACAGAACTCAGTCTGCACCATAGACGGGACTAGACACATCACACTAGTTACTAGTGTCCAATCAAAGTATTTATCAGTAGTATGTAGAGAGACGTTCATCGCTACAAAAATATCAAATAGCGGAGAGATAGATTTGACGTCAAAGAGAGCAAATGAACCAGTGCTGCTACAAAACGTGGAAGACACGAAGAGAAGACAAAAAAGTATAATGGGAAGGGTACATGTAGAGCAACACGGGATATCTGTGCAAATGACGACCTGGAGATCGGGTGTACACAATTTCGCTATATGGAGATACCAAATTCCAAATAGACATTCCTTGACCAAATCTCTTTTCTATTTAATGTACAGGTTCTGGAATAAATTTCGTGTAAATGATGCAGGAACACAGGAATATTAATTGAATTTGGATGCATGAATTGTATGAGTTCCTGAAAAGAACGGAATTCACAAACCATTAACTTTTTCTTTCAACTGAGAATTATTCATTCGCCTTGCATGAAAATAATATTATTTTCCCTATCTTCCCTTAAAGATATTGACGAGTGTATAGAAACGCCAAATATTTGCGGAAAAGAGCATCGATGTGTCAATATGATTGGGAGTTATCGATGTGAATGTGCTTCTGGATATAAAAATGGGGAAAATGAAAAAGTCTGTGTCGGTAAGAGTAACAAAATATTTTTTCTAATTAAATTGAAGTTTCTTTACATGGAATAATACACTACTTACAACGAAGTAGGTAGTATGAAAGTAATAGTAAAAATTCACAAACATTAACTTTGGAGTAAGTTTATTCAAGCCTTAGAAATCAGCTTATTATGTACTACAGCCATTCAGGACTGAATTGAAATTCATACTTATTCCTGCAAAAAGCCTCCATAGGACCTCCCAAATATTACTACTATTATTTTATCTAGTTCCTAGAGGAACATAGGGATTCAGCCTCACATCTCCATTTCGTTGGGTTCTCCGACAACGTTTTCAACTGGAAACACGTCTGCTCACATGTTTTCACCTACTCCTCACATGACCACATCATCCATGTCACACTCGCACTGACGACCAACTGACTCGCCACTTCCCATTCGGGTTCCACTCGAGAGAGAGAGAGAAGGACAGAGCCTGGGGTGTGATGTCACTCACTTGATGATGGTTTGTTTTCTGAGAGTATGGCCAATCCAATCCACCTCCATTCACTCCTGCATATTTGTTGCACAATTGGTTCCTGTTGGGTTGGTCCCTTCATTGTCAGAGATCTATCCCTGTTGCTGATCTTCTCTGCTGACTGGCCATCTCATCTTGAGTAGTATTGAGTGAAGGGAGGTGTTGATGAAGGTGTGTAGTTTGTTTGAAGTGTCCTTCGTGACGTGGTGTGGGGACAAGTCTCTGATCCGGATAGTAAGTAGCACTGACTTCACATTGGAGTTGGAAATCCGGATGTTATTTTCATTTTCATGCTGAGGAGTGTTGTTGATGTGCACACAGACTTGAGAGTGATGATAGCTTGCGTTGCTTTCCCGATCCTCGCTGCTTTGATATCCTCATCAGTTCCGTCCGCCTGTAGTTGAAACGATGGTTCCCAGGTAGGTAGGTAGGTAGGTAGGTAGGTGAAGGAGGTTGCTTCTTCCAGACTTCTCCCATTTATGCTGGCTGATTGTTGTCTGTTGTTGTGTTAGTGGTGGTTGTTTCTGTTGCTGTTGGTCAGGAATTTTCATCACCTCTGTTTTCTCTACGTTCACCTGAAGAAAGTCCTATCTTCTCTGTGTGCTTCTTCTGCCAACTTGTAAGTTTTCACTTGCATATCTCCCATTTTGAGAGAAATCAGACCTGCATCATCAGCGAAATCCAAATCTTCCAAGTATTTTGTATGGGTCCATTTCATGCCTTTCTCCCACCAACTGTCTGTCGCATTATCCAGTCTACCTCAATCAGGAAAATCATTGGAAATATTAGGCACCCAGCCAGCCAACAAACCTTGTCTCACTCCCGTCTTCACTTTGAAGGATTCCGTGAGTTTCCTGTTGTGGATTACTTGGCATGAAGCATTATCGTACAAGTTTTGGAGGAGATGTTTTATTGTTGGCGGCACCCTGTAGTAGAGAAGTAGTTTCCAAATCACCTCTCGATCGTCGCTGTCTGCTAAAGGCCTTTTCAAAGTCAATGAAGTTGAGATAGAGAGGTGACTGCCATTTGAAGCTCTGTCCAATGATGATCCGTAGTGTTGCGATTAGATCGATGCATGACCTGTTTCTCCTGAATCCAGCCTGTTCCGGTTGAAGTTTTTCATCCAGGGCATGTTTATTATCTCCAGGATGATGCGGCTTAGTATTTTGCTTGGGATGAACAGGAGCATCCCAAATATTTTATAGGACATTTGATATCAATAATCAGTTGTCTAGTCTTAATAACACAGAAAATAATCATTATTGATAATTAAACACAGATGAAGGTTGAAGAAGTCAAGTGGTGGAAATAATATGTTTCTTGTGTGTAATTTTTTGATGTTACTGTGTTGTCTAAGGAAATTTAAGGCGAAGATTAATCATAGTGAAGGTCACCAGGAGAGATAAATACTTCATCCATGGAGAAAATCCCAAAACACAATTCACACTGAAGCGTTGAAGATATTGTCCAAAAGGACAGTGAAAACTTCGCAATTAAATCACCTAGCTGAGAGAACATGACAGTGCCAAATGACAAGCAGATAAGAGCTCTCTTATGTTCTTTCTTTAGCTACAGACTGACTTACAGAAAACCATGTTAATAGGTAAAAATCCGTTCAAAATCTCTAGATGAATGGATTTTTACGTCATGGTTCATAACACTTGCGTTGATGGTTCAACAGTAGAATGCCCACCAATCACACAAGTAGACCAGAGCTCGATTCCTGACCGACGCACTCTTATACCTCACTGAACCGGTTGTAAGCCCTGTGAAAAGGGAAGTTTGGGCGTGAGGCTAGTAACCCTATGCTGTAAAGAAAACAACATCATTACCGCTACCGAAATTTCAAGGCTTTACAGCTTGAAGCCTTATTTTCCACTGGGAAGAAAGAGGAATGAAGAAACTGTTCAATTTTTGACTTAACCTTTCTGAATTCGATCACATGCGGACTTGTAAATGCAATTCCTGAATGAAAGCAATAATTAATGCATTAAACAAAAATTATAATACTTAAAAGTAATTAAAATTCCACCATGAATTTCTATCCAAGTCTCAATTAGTTCAATTTCACAGAGACATCTTCAACTTTACTTGTACTATCTCGTATGACATCAAAACTTTAATTAACAGATCAGTAGGTAATCCGTTTTTCTTCTTTCTTTTCAAAAACCAAAAACTGAAAAAAATACCACCCAATGATCAATGATGATGACGATATGGATGAAAACGAATCAAATAATCAGATATTGATGAATGCAATGTGAACCTATACAGTACGAGTATTAATACGAACAATAATAATAATAATAACAATAATCTTATGTCACCTTGTCCATTTTCCTTGTGTATCAATCAACCTGGCAGTTTTAAATGTCAATGTCCAGATGGATTCCGATTAGGCAGAGGAAATCGATGTTATGGTAAGATGTATTTCATTTCTGTTAACTATTCAGCTTGCTATTGTCTTCATAAAAATGCAACTTCTGTTAAATGTTCCACTATATTATTGATTAAGTAAGCCATCAAAATTTAATCCATCTATTGAATATCAGTGTCTTCTGCTTAGAATGATTAAGTCATATAAACATTTTGTGTATAAATTAATTTCACTAAAAGCTTTGTCTATATACTATTAGGTAAAATCATTCTGTACAGTGGACATAATCTAACTTATTGTGACATATATATTGCTTCCTAAGTAAAAATAGATTTAATTGCAGTTTCTTCGTAACGTTATTGACATCAATTTGATCGTCGATTTCACTGTCACTATACATAGATCATGTAATCTACTGGCTTGTATAATTTTGGTAGGGAAGGTTATACTTCACAGCAATATGTACACTCATCTTTTACAGCTTTACTTATCTTGTTTAAGGCTTCCCATTACAAATAAGACACAGAATACTGTAAAAAGAATATTCCCTACAGGTTTGATCACGATTTGACATCAGTTAGAGAACCACTGGAGAACCAAGGAATACTGGACAGCTGTTTCGTCCCAGGTTGGGTTTCTTCATCAGTACGCACCCACCAGAGTTCAAACTCGGAAGTGTCCGTCTACAAGTCAAGCTCCTAGGCTACTCAGTCACTGGGAACGATCAAATGGCCCGTTAAATTTTAACTTCTGCCAATTCGAGATATACATAGCCCAACCGTCAGTCAGTGTCGTAATCAAACCTACAGCCAATCAAAACCTTGCAAATCAACACTTGATAATTATTAAGATGCCCACTAGCGACTGGCTGTATACAGGGAGTTCTAGTTAGCGGTCATAACCAATGGACTCCAGCACGTCAGGTAAGAGAACAGTGTTACTCGCCTAATGACAGTGTCTCACGGTTGCGCTACATATAGCGAATTTGCAGAAGTTGGAATTCATTGGCCATTTGATTAAGTCCCATTGGCTGAATTATCTACGAGTTCGCCTTGTAAGTGGATGTTCCTGAGTTCGAACCCTGGTGGGTGAGTACCGATGAAGAAACCCAAACTAGGAGACTTGCTATTCAGTAGGTAGCCTGGGGTTCTAGTGAGAAGTCGTGACCAGTAGGGTGCAGCAGGTCGGGTGTGAGGACAAATACTCGCCGAAGACATTGGCTAGCGGTTGTGCTATATCTTGAATTGGCAGAAGTTAGAATTCATGGGCCATTGGATCGGGTCCCAGTGGCTTAATGGCCTACGAGCTCGCCTTGTAACCAGAAGGTGGTGGGCTCGAACCCTGGTAGTGGGTGCGTACTGATGAAGAGTCCCAAACTAGGACGAAACAGCTGTCCAGTACTCCCAGCTGGTTTACCAATGGTTCTCTAACTGATGTCAGCTCATGATGAAAATCCTGTAACCAATCAATCAAATCCCTACAAACCAACACTTGAATAGGATGAAACAGCTGTCCAGTACTCTGTGGTGTTCGATGGAATAATATTAGGTATGAATTGTCCATAAATTATCATCTGCAAGTGTTTAGCCCACCGTTTTATTTAATTGGTTTTAAATATGATAACTCGCTTTCCGAAAAATGTTCACCAACTTAGTTGAATGTTTAGATTTGCAAACGATTATGCAGACATAAGACTCGGCAGTATGGTAATTGGTAAAAAAATAATTCGACGGAAAAGCTTCCTTTTATCCATATCTCAATGTCTTTTGAGCAACCGTTCTACTAATTCTAATGTATGTAGATAATTCTATCGGTTTTCTATTCATGTGAGTCACAAAAGAGTCTATAAATGATTCTTAGAGCGGTAACTTTGATGTGTCCAATTCACAATAGAAATAAGCTAATTGTTTAATAAAAGTAAAATCATCAAATTTATTTTCATTCACTTTTATCTTCATTAGTGAACAAAAGTCATCCCGTAATTTTTGCTTTCTCAAACTCTAAAGAGAAAAGTAAACAATAATGAATGAGGTGATTAAGTTAACGAGAAATTAACCTTTTTCTTAAGTCAATATAAACTTTAAAATATCATAAAGTGTTTTCTCGTCCCACTGTCAAGGTCATCCGTCTTCTGGTGTATCCCAATTGAAAATTGAACGTTTTCACTTTGCAACCTACGCTACAAATCTTCTCCATTATTAAGATAAGATTCCCACTAATATGAAGTATAAATAAATCAATGGCTTATTCAAATACTATTAAATGGGACGCCTAGTGTAAAATTCATTTAGTGAATAATATTTATAAAGTTTAGTTAATTTCTTAGTTCAGTGTTACTTGAATCGGTCACCTTGGTAACATCAAACTGTTTTTATAGTTAATCTAATAAAGTGGAAGAACGTATAAAATAAAACAAGGAGAACTGATAGATTTAGAAATGTTAAAATCCTAAGGTGTTTGTAACATTATGATCAACTAATTTTCAAAGAACATACTTGAAATTCAGATAATTTGTAAAAATGACTACTAAGCCACCTAAAGGTAAAATAAAGATTATGGATAAATTAATTCTACAGTTATACAATAATATGATAACTATACTGACGTCAAAACACTGAGTTATTGATTAAATTAACATGAAACCATACTGTCTACTCAATAATTTAGCTGAGTAGAGTCATTTAAACTGTGAACTATGTATTTATACAGCTGACATACAAGTTATGGGTAGCAGGATGAATAATCTAAAGAAATTTGTAAGCTGGCAGAAGTTAGAATTCACAGGCAACTGGTTTCCATCTCACAGACTGAATGGCCAACGACCTTGCATTGTAGGCTGAAGCTCCTGAGTCCCATTCCTGGTGAAGTCATGGCTGCGTACTGTGAAGAGTCCCAAACAAGGACGAAACAGCTGTCCAGTAAGTACTCTGTGGTTTTCAATGGTTCTCCAGCTAAAGCCAGTCTGTGAGTCGGTGGCAGAGTGGTTAGGACTCTCGCCGACCATGCACATGGCCCGGGGTTCGATCCCCTGCCGACGCACACCCGATATCTATGGTCGGCCTGCATAAATTGGGCTACCGATATCCATACTGAAAATTCCATACTTGTACTGCAAATACGATGTGGCATCAAGCTGTAATCAAAAATTTTAAAAAAATTAAAAAATTAAAATTAAAAATTCATTCTAAAAGGAACACATATAGTTTCTCACTGGAAGGTACAAGTCAATAATTACTATAAATTTTCTAAAATTTGGTTTGTAAGAGTTAGTTATGTTTTTACGAGTTGATCACGGATTGATATCAGTTAGAGAACCATTGAAAACCAGGGAGTACTGGACAGCTGCTGTTTCATCCTAGTTTGGGAATCATCGGCAGTACGCACCCACTGGGATTCGAACCCAGGACCTTCCGGTTACAAGGCAAGCTCGTATACCATTCAGCCACTGGGACTCGATTCAATGGCTCATGAATTCTAACTTCTACCCATTCGTGATTTAGCGCGACCCCAACCATTGTCATTGGTGGGACATCCATCAACACACGTGACATCTAATTGGACCTCACTGGTCACGACTTCTCACTAGAACTCCAGGAAACTCCATCCTGTAGCAAGTCACTGGCGAGCATCAGATTATTTTTCTATAGTTTGGTTTGTAAGGGTTAGTCATGTTTTCACGAGTTGATGTCCCACCAACTACAATGGTTGGAGTCACGCTAAATCACGGATGAGTAGAAGTTAGAATTCATGAGCCATTGAATCGGGTCCCAGTGGCTGAATGGTATACGAGCTTGCCTTGTAACCGGAAGGTCCTGGGTTCGAATCCCAGTGGGTGCATACTGCCGATGATTCCCAAACTAGGATGAAACAGCAGCTGTCCAGTACTCCCTAGTTTTCAATGGTTCTCTAATTGATATCAATTACTGTATAAAGGGAAAAGGAGAAGATAATTCGTGACAGTATCCAAACCATCCATTCTTAGATTGTGTTTTTCAGGCATTTATTTCAACTCCATCTATAATTATATCTTATGGCTAGAGCAGTTTTGTCAGACTGTGCTTATCGCAACTTTTAATTCGAAATACTGAACAGACTTTTTATCTTATATACAATTTTTTTGAAAATTGTCATCTTGATAAGCAGTTTATATTTAATTTTTTTTAAACCATCCCTTTCCTTCGTCTGGGAATATTTCAAATCAATTTGACAAATGTCAGCACACATTAAACATTGATTTGTAAGCATAAAACCTTCTAATTACACATTTACAAACATTTTAGTTCAGTCGTCCCATAAATCGATTAAGATAAACAACCACTAGTCGATTTCAATAGGAAATAAATGATCTAATCCTAGTTAAGTGGTAAATTTGGTTTGTGTTTTTTGATATTAGGGTGATAACAAGGAGAAGATACGTTTCACTTTTCAAATTGACTTAAACATCCAACCTTAACTCCTTACAAAGATGTGTGTGGACAAATAAAATTCATTAAAATTATGATGAACAGGCTTCGAACACTGGTTGCATTGTTAAGTTGTAACAATATAATGTTTATAAATGACAGTGCTTCAAACAGAAAAGGCTTTTAGTAAAAAAATGTCTGATACCATTTGTTTTAAAAATCATCTGTTTTTGAATGAAATAGATTTAAACGTAGCAAGAGATCTGTAATTACACAATTTAGCTAAGAAATACATACTAGTATATTTTGTAGCGTTGGTTGGTGGGGATTTGTTTCGTTTCAGGCTAAATCGCCAGCTGACATGAGTCAGAGAACAACCGAAAACTAAGAAAAAAAGGAAAGCAAATACCTCCTTATTTGAGACTTCTCAGCACTACGCACCCCTGATCACACGGGGGTTCGATCTCAGGACCTTCAGGTTACAAAGAGAACTTGTTGACCATTCAGCGACTGGTCAGAATGAAATTATCCATAAATTCTAACTTCTACCAATTCTCGGTATATGTGTATCATGACCGCTAGCCGATGTCATCGGAGAGTATCTATTCTTACAAGAGCCTTGCTTTCCCCATTGGTGTAA